AGCTTCTAGAAAACCTTTCATCAAAAGGCCCTTACTGCAGTCATTTTTCACAGCCCCGGGACAAAAGTGTGAAAGATAGAATATGCAGGTACTTCCAGCATAATCAAGAGAAATTAGCCATGTCCATATGCTTCCTGTAACACATTCATAATCGGCTATTACAATGGGCTGACTCTGATGCGAGGAAAGCAGAGGAGGATGGGGAAACTGTAGCGATTGGTCGGCCCAGATCGTGGCAGGCAGGCTGAGCTGGACTTAAGTAGGGATTGATGTCACTGATTCCAGCTTAGCACTGCGACTGCGCCACTGGAGCGTCTGTGCTGCAAACATGGCATGAAAGAGAGTAAGGGGCCGCGACTGGGGGAGGGACGTGCGGGTGAGGGAGAGAGAAAGGGCGAAATTGAAAGGACATGTTAATGCTAGTTTGGCATTCATGTTTTCATGTAGCATTAAGCCTGCGTCACATTGGGCCTCTCCAGTATATAATCTATAGTGTATGTGATCCTCTTTTTCAGCCAATAGGAATGAAGCAGTACATTCCGGAAGGTGTAGTTCACCTGAGTGATTTAAAAGATGTCTTGGGTAACAATTACACATACTAGCAAGCAAAATATAACTTTTAACATATGACGTCAGGTGTTGGCATCCAAAAGCTTGAACTGGTTGCATTTGTTGCATTCCCATAGTTACTGCTTTTTAATTAAAGTAACTTGAATTCTTGTTAGCAGGTCCTCAACACAAGCACATGCACTACACTTCAGCACAGTGGTAATCTCCCCTTTTCTCATCTTGCTAAAACTGCATAAAATAACACTATTTCAAAATGTACTCTCCCTATCCAATCCCATGCAAAGCACGGTTGTTACAATGCTACATTAACACAACTAAAATAATTCATATATTGTAGTCCCAAATTCATGTTTGGGAAAAAGTAAATTGGTTGAACATGATAAAAAAAAGAAAAGATAAAATCTTTAAAAAAATTGTTTTTTTTTATTATAATCAAGCAGGAAAAAATCATTTCAATCTTCTAATTCAGTATTTTTTTCAATCTTTTGTTGGTTCAACGATTAACACCAAAAGTAGACAAGTGTAACCTATTAAACTGACCAAGTGCCAGTACCAAGTGATGAACACATCGTTGAATCAGTCTCCCCATCCTCTCAAACGACTTGTTCATTTGAATATACATGAATATTTTGCAGTCATTTTGCAATTTTTTGTGTAACTAATGTATAATGACTAGTGTTGTCATGGTACCAAAATTTCAGTATTCGGTACCAATGCCAGTGAAAATCCACGGTTCTCGGTACCAATTTCGGTACCACAGCAAAACACAAAAACTTGCTAATTAAATTTTTTTACTATACTTTCATTTAATCCAAACTGTGTACATATTTAATTTTAAAGGGCTTTTAAAACCTTCTAGAGTTATTCAGCCAAGAATAACAACTAAGTTAGCTAAAAAAAAAAAAAAAGGCTCAGAACTGCTTTTCTGACTGATATGAAACAAACAATGTTAACCATTTGTGCGTTCTCTCACACGCATATTTTAGATTCACAATTCATTTAAAAGCTTCTGTTGTGTAAAAAATAGTAAATGTCATCATGTCCTCCTGTTTTTTTTACCCTAATAAAAGTTATAGGAGCATTAAATACTTAATAAAGAAACTTAATTCTACTGTTCATTATATTAGTGTTAGCCGCGCTTATGCTAGCGATTAACTACTCTAATAACAGCAATGTTAATTTCAATCCGACGCTCAAATTAAAATATTGAATAATATTCATAACAGAAGTATTTAATTTTAAAGGGCTTTTAAAACCTTCTAGAGTTATTCAGCCAAGAATAACAACTAAGTTAGCTAAAAAAAAAAAAAAAAAAGCCCAGAACTGCTTTTCTGACTGATATGAAACAAACAATGTTAACCATTTGTGCGTTCTCTCACACGCATATTTTAGATTCACAATTAATTTAAAAGCTTCTGTTGTGTAAAAAATAGTAAATGTCATCATGTCCTCCTGTTTTTTTACCCTAATAAAAGTTATAGGAGCATTAAATACTTAATAAAGAAACTTAATTCTACTGTTCATTATATTAGTGTTAGCCGCGCTTATGCTAGCGATTAACTACTCTAATAACAGCAATGTTAATTTCAATCCGACACTCAAATTAAAATATTGAATAATATTCATATCAGAAGCAGTGTTTCTCACAGACTTGCACTCTATTTGTGGCAACATATATGCAAATTCATTCTCTGGCAGCAGGAGGCGCTTGTAGAGCGGGAGAGATAGAGGTTTCCCCGGTAACAGCTGTAATCAAATAAGTGTTGCGCTCACAAATGCTGCTCAGGCATTACAGGCAAGATGAAATGAAAATGACATCCATCATTTTCTGAAGACAATCGGTTTCCTTCAGAAATAAAGTGATATAAAAACACCCGCACCGGGTTTCGTCTTTGACACGTGTGGTGCTCATGTTTATTGAACGAAGTCAAAGCCTTTTGTGGCAGGCCGCCACGAATAAATCAAATGTATGGGAAACACAAATATTAAAAATTAAAATGAAGCTTACCTGCTTGAACTCTTTCATTTGATCCGGGTGTCTGTCTTTAAAGTGTTTTGTTAGTTTGATGTGTTTCCTCATTTTGAGGTCGCCATGTCTCAGTGCTTTTATGAAGAGAGTGCATCTGCACACCTCTCGAATAGCGCATCAAGAACTGGGTTGACTGGGTACTTGGTACCACCAGTACTTTAAAAAAACCTGGTACCGTAACGTTTTCATTTTTTTTAGTACCGACTTGGTACCGAATTAGCGGGTCTTTTGACAACACTAATAATGACTATTAATCAGTAGCTGTTTGTATTACTGTTGGATGATATGCTCCATAGTCACATCGTCCTATCATCAACCTGTGAGACTTACTTAGTTTCATAGCCGGATAGTACTTACTCCAGGGTATGGCTAAAAGCAGCTTAATGTTAGTGTAATCTATTAACTACACATTATATCTTTTTAGTCATGTAGCATATGGATGTCATGTCAATTTTTTTTAATATGAATGAATTTGTATTTAACATGATCAGAATTTAATAAAAACATGTTACTGATTTTAATGCTTACATTTCCTCAGTTATTCAAACAGCAGCTACAGAAAACAAGCAAAGAACTTTTACATTATCAAAGAACTTCAGTCTAGCGTGAGATTATGCACTTTAAAAACACTCCCGTTATAAGCAGCGAAGCTAGTTACACCGCATGGTCAATTAATCTCTTATACTTACATCGCATGTACACCTGTACTTCGTTGTTTATGATGAGAGAATTCGCGAGAGAGCAGAATTTAGTCAGCGAGCACGCACTCAACCACAAAACTCCAGTGTTTCAGCGACGACTCGTCTGAACACCTCTGATTGGCCATTGCATTTGTAGCGTCTGGACCAATCCAACACACTATATATTCTCTTTTTATATAACAAATACTCTGTAACCTCAGTTAACAAGCCATATGAGGACCCATGAACCCTTCCCCCCGGAATGCGTAACACCCCAGGAAGTCGAACAGGCCTCTTTGTTGCATGGCAACCAACGCTGATATCACTGGGTTTATTGGCCAAAAGTATGTAAAGCAGGGAAAATCCCTGCATAAGAAAGTTATTTCCCTTAACCAGGAAATCAACGTTCTTAGAATTGACAAGACAGTTGACCCTGAGTGGTCAGCTAAATATGCAGAATTTAGTCAGCGAGCACGCACTCAACCACAAAACTCCAGTGTTTCAGCGACGACTCGTCTGAACACCTCTGATTGGCCATTGCATTCATAAACTCAACATATTCGTGTGTGATTGGTTATAACGCGCAACACTGTAAAAACACGCAAAAAGAAATATAATGGAGCAAATGAGCCCTAATATTAATTAAATAATAATACTAGCAGAATAATAATAATCGTCATCTTGATTCTGCATCAGACACAGGCGATATCTCTGACTATCGTCTATCGGCACAACCCTAGTTTATATACCATCATTTGATTTATGTCAGTCGCAAAGCTTTATCGGATGAGTAGTTTATTCCCTCATAAAGTCATTAAGTACATTCTTGTACCTTTGTCTGTTTTCCTTATTTTTATATACTTACACGTTCACATTCTTCAAAGCAAAGATTGTAATGTTGTAATTAATTTTGAAGTGGATTGGTTTGATTCATGACTTGGACCTTTTTATTGACATTTTCTACAGAGAAAATAAAAGCAGGTTGAGTGGTCACCGATGTGTTTTATTACAAACCAGCAATTTGTATTAACCAGTTTGCAGAGCTTTTTTAAAGTTTTGTGGTGTGTTCGATGAGGGCCTCCTGTGAATAATTTCAGTGCATCAGTGTAGACCTATCTTTGTATGCATTTTGATATTTCACCCTCTTGTCACTCTGCCTGAAAATTCTGAAGCTACTAAAATCAATCAAAGCCTAGAAACCCAAGTGTTTTTTTTTCTCCTCCAAGCTCCACCACCAGACGGTGTTTTTTTCCCCCCAGCAGAATAAGCATCTCCCCCGTCTGCGTTACGTAAGTTCGGTACTCATTCACGCAGATGTTTGCGCTCCCTCTGCTTCATCTTTGCCTCTGCCTCAGGCGGAGATCTGCCTGGATCAGGCTCTCTGATGGCTAATTGTGTAACCGTTTCTGCCTCCTCCACAACACAGATGCGTTAAGATAAATGGCACTTTCGTTTCCTTTCGTCTCCCTCCACGAGAGCCCCTGTGCGTCTAGACCGGCTGTGATAGGTGGAGACAGGCGAACGACATCCGCGATGGTCTCGCCACCCGCTCATCCCTCCCGAATCCTCTCATAGTTGTCCCTCTAAAGACACTTCCTGTTTGCTTTCATTATGGCATGTGCTAAAATTAACTTTATCCTTCCCTCTCCCCCTTCTCTCTCTCTCTCTCTCGCTCTCTCTCGCTCTCTCTTTCTGTCATTCTTTCATCTCTGTGTCCACAGTGCCAGACTCTGCCAAGCCCAGCCCCACCCCTCCTCCCCCCACCAACCCCAGCACCGCCACCAACCCGTCTGTGCCCTCAGCCAGCAGCAGCACTGGTGGCAATGGCAAGCGCGCACCCTCCGGCAACCAACAGCAGCAGCCGGCAGCCCCTCGCTACCCGCCCCGAGAGGTGCCCCCTCGTTTCCGTCAACACGAACACAAGCAGCTACTGAAGCGGGGCCAACCTCTGCCCGCCGGAAGTACAGCTCTTGTGCAGCCAGTGTCCGCCAACCCTGCGTCTCAGCCCTTCTTCTGCCAGACCCACCCAGGTCAGCCTCGCCTCCATGATGTACACAGGGCGGCCTGCTGAGTCAGGGTGCAGCCAAGAAAACACTTAACGCCTATAGTTGGTGGTCTGTTTTGTGGTTTTGTTATGTAATATTGCAGGAAGGTAGAAGAGCTGGTTGTGGCAGGGGGTGTTTGGATGGTTTGTACAGACTATCAGCCCATTCTCATGTGGTACAATAATGTAAAGCTGCTTTCTTTTGTTCTATCTTTTGTTTGCTGGGGTTGGCAACCATCTGCACGGTTGATAAGAGCAAGAGAGATTAATATTCAAGTCACTATTAAATATTGCAGTATTTATTATTGATTTATTTGTGCACATCTTTTTTTTTTTTTTTGCTCTCCCCCTTGCAATGGCATCTCTGCAGAAGAGCTGGGCAATAAGGTTGTCCAGTAGATGAATTCCCCTAAAGCAGCCTGTCAGTCACATGAAACGATTACAACAAATGGCAGCAATGTCAATTTCTGATGTTAAATTTCAAACCAAGTGCCACTTTTTTTTCCTTGTGTAAAGGGATAGTTCACCCAAAAATGTGTGTCTGTCATTACTTACTCACCCTCATTTCGTTCTAAACCCGTAAGACCTTCGTTCATCTTCAGAACACAAATTAAGATATTTTTGATGGAATCCGAGAGCCTCTGACCCTCCATAGACAGCTAGGATATTACCACAATCAACGCACAGAAACGTAGCAAGGACATCAGTAATGTGACATCGGGGGTTCAACTGTAATTTTACGAAGCTACGAGAATACTTTTTGTGCATAAAGAAAACAATAATAACAGCAAATAGCAATTCTTCTCCCCGAGTTACCGTCTTCCGCCATTTTGGAGAGTATCCCAGGATGTAATAAATGTAATGAGCGCTGTTTACATTCAGCATGCTGAATGTAAACAACGCTCATTGTGTAAAAAATTTTTAATAAAAAAAATGTGTTCAAATTAAAATACTTCATGTAGCCAAAAATTTATCCAAGAACCAAATCAGAATGTTATTGAAATTGTGAATTGAAATTTGAATCGTATTGGGAAATTTGTATCTTAATTTAGCCCTAATAAAGAGATTTGAATAAAAAAATGAAACTGGCAAGTTATAAGAAAATTTAAGAAAAAAGCTTTAAAAAATTGTCTTAAGAACCATTCCTTCCTCCATTCCACCGCCCTGCGCCAAGCTGCGTTTGAAGCTGCATTTTTGTGTATAAGGTAAAAAAAATTGAGATGCATTTTTTTGTAAAGTTGAACTTATTTAAACTTGAGCGTTGCATTTTTAGAACGGCGTGTCAAAACGCAGAGCACAGTGTCAAAGACGTCGGTCTCACGCTTGTTTACATAGAAAAACAATGGAAAATTAGCACAGTGAAATGAAAAATCACATTTTATGTGAACAGCCCCTTATGAGTGTGGTGCAATAGATGTGGTTCAATAGGTAGTAAATGGCCTAATTTGTTCATCACAGACAGGGTCATGTTGAAATCTCCTGTTGACATTTAATCAGGGTTGGTTTGTTATGTAGTGTTGTTTGAGCTTATTCATGTGTGCCATGTGCAGTAGGTAGTTCTGGATGCTGTTTTTTTTTTGTTTTTTTGCTGTCTGTTTTGCAGGCGAAGAAAACTAGATGGAGAAAAACGTTCTTGCTGAGTTGTGCTTTGCTACTTCCTGTGTTTGGAGGCGTGTGGGTGTGCCAAGAGTGTTGTAGTTTGTACGTGGACTTGGCAATCTTCTGCTGTGTGTCTGTGGCTTCATGATTTGCAGTGGCAGAGCGAAAGAACGAGTTAAAAAGGAAAAGGGAGAGATGGCGGACGATCAGCTCTATCGGCAGGGGTGATTCACAGCTTACAGTAAATGTGCGTGATTCAGAAGGAGTCTCCTTTGATTGGCATGGCACAAAAATGGGCTGTCTCATGGACTGTTCTTCTCTCCTCCCAGAGTATTGATTGGCTCTTATTTGTGGTCTGAAGGGAATCATGTGTTCTTCTCAGCTCTGGAGTCCTAGTTAAGAGCAAGACCAGAGCCCTGTTCCAATTTCTAGCAAACTGTCTTCCTTGATCATATTTTTTGGAATCATTGGCACTCAATGAAGACTCTTCTTTGTAGTGAAGCAAAGCCACACAATCGCAATCAGTGTAGTCTGATTTCAAACAAATGACTCGTATGGGCTCCTTATTTTAGTGAATCAAAACAATACAGTAAGACTAGTGTAGTCCAATTCCTAAACGAGTGAATCTTTTGAGTCAGTTCTTTTTAATGAATCAGCCACTTACAACTTATATCGTACTGAGAGACTTAAACCAGTATAGTTACAGTCTGGTTGTTTACATAGCAGTGTGTAATTAAAGATACACAGTTTTGTCAGTAATATTTATGAAAATAATTGAATAAATTTACTACTGTTCTTATTTAATACATAACCTCATGAAAAACTAAAGTAATCAAAAAGTCTGTGAATAGACACCTTTTGTAAGAATAATTTTATTTATTTATTTATTTATTATTTCCTCATTTTACAATGCAGTGGCATTTATTTTTCCCAAATAATTGTTCTTCAAATAACTACTAGCTGATAATTGAGCCGTTAAAGGGTTAGTTCACCCAAAAATGAAAATTAGCTTGTGTTTTACTCACCCTCAAAACATCCTAGGTGTATGTGACTTTCTTCTTTCAGACAAATCCAATCGGAGTTATTGTAAAATTTGTCCTGGCCCCTCCAAGCCATTCAATGGGGGTAAGCGGGTGTTGGTTGTCAACAGTTCAGAAGATGTGAAATAAAGTGCGCGCATCCATAATAAATCGTCCCTCACACGGCTCCGGGGGGTGAATAAAGGCCTCCATTAGCAAATCCATTAGTGTTGGGCGATATGGTAATTTTTCAAATTGTCATATCACTAGTCCGTGAGATCGCCGATAGATGGTATTATCGTGCATGGGTGGGTTGGGGCAAGAGAGAGACTCCCTGTACTTGTCATAGGCTATTTCATAACTATTTGGTGTTTTAAACAGCGCGTGAGAGAGAGAGAGAGTCTATGGAAGCACCACAAATCTAAATAATATACTTTCAAAAACACTGATAAACTAACATGTTAAATACTAAAATATTTAAAACAGCTAGTTCATATATATATATTCAGATACAACAGTCATACATCGCTATTAGGACCGCGCGTCCTTTGACAAATTTGCCGCATCAGAGCACGGAAGTTATCGGTCTAAAAGGTCTGCAAAATCAGTCAACTGTGAAAATCAGAAGTAGATTTATTTTAAAGACCCACCAGTTAAACACTAAATATTGGACGTAAACGAACACGTTAAATATAAAGTATTTAAAACAGGTAAGTTCATACATTTGGAGTAAATGTAAATTAATCGGATAACGTTACATCAGTCATACAGCGCTCCGGACCGCACGCCCCATGGTGAGCCCGACACACCACTAGGTGTATGTGACTTTCTTCTTTCAGACAAATCCAATCGGAGTTATTGTAAAATTTGTCCTGGCCCCTCCAAGCCATTCAATGGGGGTAAGCGGGTGTTGGTTGTCAACAGTTCAGAAGATGTGAAATAAAGTGCGCGCATCCATAATAAATCGTCCCTCACACGGCTCCGGGGGGTGAATAAAGGCCTCCATTAGCAAATCCATTAGTGTTGGGCGATATGGTAATTTTTCAAATTGTCATATCACTAGTCCGTGAGATCGCCGATAGATGGTATTATCGTGCATGGGTGGGTTGGGGCAAGAGAGAGACTCCCTGTACTTGTCATAGGCTATTTCATAACTATTTGGTGTTTTAAACAGCGCGTGAGAGAGAGAGAGAGTCTATGGAAGCACCACAAATCTAAATAATATACTTTCAAAAACACTGATAAACTAACATGTTAAATACTAAAATATTTAAAACAGCTAGTTCATATATATATATTCAGATACAACAGTCATACATCGCTATTAGGACCGCGCGTCCTTTGACAAATTTGCCGCATCAGAGCACGGAAGTTATCGGTCTAAAAGGTCTGCAAAATCAGTCAACGGTGAAAATCAGAAGTAGATTTATTTTAAAGACCCACCAGTTAAACACTAAATATTGGACGTAAACGAACACGTTAAATATAAAGTATTTAAAACAGGTAAGTTCATACATTTGGAGTAAATGTAAATTAATCGGATAACGTTACATCAGTCATACAGCGCTCCGGACCGCACGCCCCATGGTGAGCCCGACACACCACCACAGAAACAAGAATGAGATACGTTCTAACATAACTGTGGCATTAAAATCAATTAGTGAGGGCTCGGTTAAAATATTGCACATATATAGGCCGTTCAGATTACTTGTTAAAGTGCAACGAAATACCTTATATCAGCAGACGATATGTGTCTGTGTTTGTGGTTGTAAACTCCTCCACTGGCTACAGGCTCCTCATTTGCACGTGTGCGAGAAATACAGTGCTGAATGAAAAAAACGGGGCAATTTGATAATAATAGCCGAATTAAAATAGGCTGCCTAATAATAATAATAATAATAATTATATATTGTATATATATATTGTAATTATATATTGTATAAGTGGCATGAAAATGCCACTTATACAATAGTCAGCATTTGTCAGTACTTAAACTTAAGTAACATGATGCCTGCTCCCGGGACGCCAGACTGAAGTTGTAATAAGACTGCAAACCCAGCCACAAAGTTGAGGTATGAATTCACAACCATCTGACCCTCGGAAAGCCACTGGGTGCACCTGAAATAAATAAATATAAGCCATAATGTAACCTACAATACAGTATTTCAATATAAAATGTAATCTAAAATACAACAGAATTAATAAGAATACATTACCTAATATAATCAGCTTCAGAGAGTCTTGAAGCATCAAACATTTCTCCACATCAGCTGCTATTCTTTGCACCTACAAGAAATAATGAAAATTATCAAGTAATTTTTTTAAATGCATTACATAAATGAGACCAAAATGAACACCCAAAAAGGCA